AAATTATAGCGATGTAAGTATAATAAATATATTAATGTACTAGCGCAAATGTCAGTGGATATACTAATATTTACAAAGACATATACAATATTGGCATTTGCATTAGCGACAATGGATACATATATTTAATTAAGCTGAAACAAATATAAATGAAAGATTTTTCGCTAGTTGACTTACCACTGAAGAATTAAAAATTAAAAGCAACAAAGATTTAAATAATTAGAATGTTGACATAAAGAAATTTATTGAGTGTCAAGCTATAAGTCTGGAAATTTTAATAAGGGTCTAAAAAAATACGGAAATATGCGAAAAAGTCTGATATGTCACCTTTTACGTGTTTTACAGGCATAACATAACATTTACGTGCGCGCGATTTACGTGTTTATCTGTCACGTAAAGTACGAGATGAGTATGGTTCAGGAAAAAACTTAACTGTCTTGATTTTTATATTAGCTTAAAGCATTCATTTACGTTTGTGCTTCGAATTTGTTTTTCCGGGTCGATCAAAAATTCACGCATTCTTATTGGCTTGTTACTCGGACAGATCACCGGACTTGCAATCCTCCAAACTGAGATTGCGGACGTTCGGAAATGCACAACATATCTATAAATCAGTGTATATAACGATAAGATCTCATTCTGGTAGTAATTCTCAGTTTGAAAATATTCATATTTTCAAAATTATTGTATTCTCTTTAAGTGTATCATTAATAAAATCTTCTAATTCACCAGTTTTTTCTAAGTCTAACTTAGGAATGTTTCCTATTATTATCTTATTCAGACCGGCTGTATTGGACTTGGTTTTATAAATATGACCAACTCCAATTCTGAGGATTATTTGTCAGCAATACTTTATCATTAACGTAAATGTCATACATATGAGCAAATGGTAACGGTAATATAAATAGAGAACTGCAGAAGTATCACTAGTGGTAGCAGTTGCTGAAGTAAACCGAGTATCAGACTCATTTATAAAATCCGGCAGCTGATTATTGTTATCATCATTATTAACGCTAGATGATCCAGAAACTGAATTATTATCATAAGTCGACTGCAGACTGATTATCATACTCATTCATAAAATCTCTTTCCCCTCTTGTTCTGTCCTTCCAGGGGATGAGGTGGGTTTTCATCTTCTTTTTGGTAAACTACCGTCCAACTTATAATTTCGGCATTCCATAGTTCGAAGATAATTATCATCATCATCAGCATTACTTGATCGAATTGATTTGCGCCGTATTATTCTTGACTGGGCTACTATTTCAGATTCACTAATCTGTGATGTACTGTCTTCATGTAACGATACTGGCTTAATATCAATATTATCGGCAAAAGCACCACCAAACGGTGCTAAGTTGTTATCATTATTTATTAGTCGTAGTGGTAGTCGATATTGTATTCTTTGAGAGTGCGCGCTATCACCATCATTACTGCAAAATTGCAAACTTATATGAAGTCTATCTTCATTATTATCACTACTAACCGATGATAATCCCATATCTTGTACTAATTTGGATATTTCTCGTATGTATGTCGTCCTGATAGTTCTGACGATGATGAATTCATTGATTCTTCCTCTTCATCCTCTTCCAAAATCTCATTTAATGTTTCTGTTCTGTCTCGAGTTTTAGGTATATTTAATTGCTTGAAAGAAAATCTGTTTTCACCACCATTACTATCATCATCTTCCACAATGTCATTGTTTCATCGTGATCGTCAGCAAAGAGTAATAAGAAATGCGCGATTTTTTCTTGATATGCTTTTGGGATTTCCCACCAAGCATCAAGAGCATCCCTTTCTCGTTTCTAAAAATGCAAATAGACAAACATATTAGTTAATGTTTATTTATAAAATATAATGAAATTTGATCGATCTGACAATCAGTATTATGTGTTTTAATTAAGGCGCAGTCTGATATGCAATACAGATCTGGTCTCAGGTGTTAAATTTTCTACTTGAGAAACAGTCTTCGAACATTAACACCATTAACCTTCGTCACAACGCGCCTGATATGCAATACAGATCTGGTCTCAAGCATTCATTAAATGTTCTTCGAAGGCACATCTTTCGAACATAATACCTTTAACCATTATCACAAAGGACACATCACAAATCTGGCAGTGAGATATTGAGCGATCTCTTGATGCGAAGTCATTCGAACCTCAACACCTCTGATCACCGTCACAAAGGATACCGCTGATATGCAATACCGACCGATCTGGCAGTCTGACATGCAATACAGATCCGTGTCTCAGGCGTTAAACATTCCAGTTGAGATGAGGTCTTTCGAACGTTGATATCTTTAATCATGTCACAAAGAATGCGTCCGATATGCAATATCTGGTCTCAAGCATTAGCACATTCTACTCGAGACGTAATCTTTTGAACCCCTAACACTTTTAACCATCGTAGGCGTTCTACTTGAGACGTAATATTCGAATCTCTAACACTTTTAACCGTCGTCACGAAGGACGTGTCTGATATGCAATATCTGGTCTCGGGCATTAGCACATTCTACTCGAGACGTAGTCTTTCGAACATCTACCACCTTTAACCAACTTACGCACAAATTTTAAATCCCTTCATTTAGAGCAATCATACGTCCCCAAATTTCATCATATG